GAATAGCCATTGTCAATTTGCTAAGATCTCAGGCGATGGATTACCTTAAACTGGATTTACGATGAAAGTGCTGAACTGATCATTATATTTTTGGCACAAACAGATGAGAACGTCAACTCTCGATAGTAAGAAAGACATTGGAAGAGGGAATGTTTCAAAATATTCAAATTTATTTTTTATAAATACATCATTAGAATGCCATATTTTGTGTGATTTCAGGGTTTTTCACGGCGAACATTTGTCACTAAAAAACCAAGAATATTAGGGACAGCCAAGTAGATCACCGTCATCGCTACGACTACTGCGACCACTGCGACCACTGCGACCACTGCGACCACTACTACCACTACTATCACTAATACATCTACGACGTCTAGGCGATTGAGTGAAATTAAGTAAAACATCTTTTTGCTGAAAAATCGAGGTATGTGCAGCCTTTATTCTTCAGAGTGTGTCGATCTGAATGCGCATTGCGGAATATGGGAATAACTTGGCCATTGCAAACATTCTACAAAATACATGTCACATTATTGTAGAGAATCTTGCAGATTTTGTGATTAGCGAACCAACTGTGAGTTGCTAATTGATTTATTGGTCAGTTTTCTCAAAGCTGTGAAAAAATGAGTTAACTGAAATGCAGCTGATTGATAAATGATATTTTCCATCGAATATACCTAACCCCTTCACACACCACAAAGAAGGGCTTGATAATGCAATGGAGCATTTAATGAGCTCCAGAAAGGATAACAATGTGTACGAAGGTTACTCAGGCTATACAGTTATGCACTCATGTCAAATTTCTTGAGATTATATCTCACATTGTATCCTAACACCAAAAATGACTTAGGCAGAAGACAAACTTGAAAAAGGAAAAGCCAAAGAGTTGCATTTAGCTGCCTAATAATTTTGAAAATCTTCTAGCGAAATGACACAAAAATCCAAGCTCGATGCTGGGCCCGAACCCGTGACAGCCAGATTAAAAGTCTGGTGTTCTACCGATTGAGCTAACCGTGAACCAAACACTGTTCGAATGACAGAATAGTTGTACACGTTACTTGTGACTAATGTTCCAAGATATTAATAGGAATCGTTCAAATTCGTTCTAAGTATTCTATATGGACCACGAAAAATTCTTCAGAGAAGATCGTACATTCTTCAAGGTCATTGTCGCAGATTTTAACGCAAAAATTGGACTTAGAAGAACGTCTGAAGAACGTTACATTTAGACTCACGGACTACAATGTAATGAACAGGGTGAGAGGCTGCCTGAATTTATCATGACGACTCAAATTATCCATAGTAACTCGCAAATCCAAAAGCCTCTTTCTCAGCTATGAACGTGGGAGTCTCCCAAGGAGAATACCATAACGAAATAGACCATATCTTAGTAAATCGAAGGTTTTGCATGACCGATGTCGCTGTTGTTTCTAAGTTCTACACGGGATCAGACCATCGCCTCCTTCGCGCAACGTTCCGTTTCTCGAGGAGAGGAGAGAAAGCCGCTAAACTCAAACAACGAAGTCCCAGAACTACAATAAACTGGGATGTATTCAAATCATTAGTCGGCTATTGGGAAGGTACCATTGTCGACAACATCGACGAAGAACACGATCGACTCGTTGAATATCTTCACGTCAGCGCTATAAAAGCCGAGAGTCCTAAGGTCACGAAGAGACGCTTATTTCTGCAGGCACTCGAGCTGATTTGTCAGCGCGGAATCGCACGAGCTACAGGCAACCGAAACCTTACCTCCGAGCTTGCGAAACGCTGCAGAGAAGCGATAATAGAAAACCTCAAAGAGAGACGAGCAGCAGTTATGGCAGAAGCTGCAGAAGCTGGGAAGAGCATTCGCAAAGCCCAGCGAGGCTTCGCCAACTATAAGACCAAGATGATTGTACTCCGATGCCCTGACGGGACACTTACAGCTTCGAGAAGGTCTATGGAGAAAGTCATCCACCAATACTACTCGGATCTCTTCGCTAGCCATGTCCTCTTACCGTCATATAAATTGAAAAAGGACGAATATGTCGCTCCACCGGTCCTCTCTTCCGAAATCCGACATGCTATATCGTCGGTGAAGAGCAGAACAACGCCCGGTCCAGACAGGATTAGACCAGAACACCTGAAGAACCTGCCGCCAGTTCTCATCAACACCCTGGCTCGGCTCTTCACTCGCTACCTGTCAGAATGCAAGGTCCCTATTCAATGGAAAACCGACAAGACCGTATTGTTGTTCAAAAAGGGAGACCTTCAAGACATAGGCATTTGTCGCCCAATCTGCTCGCTGTCCGTTGTCTATAAACTCTTTACTCGTGCCATCCTAAACAGGATTGAAAGAACACTGGACGAAGGACAGCCATGAGATTAAGCAGGTTTCCGATAAGGATTTAGTACCATAGACCACATCTACACGATTACAAGACTCAATGAAGTTTCACGAGAGTACAAACAACCACTCTGTCTCATTTTTATCGATCTGAATAAAGCCTTTGATTCAGTGGAAACAGAAGCGGTTATAGATGCTCTGGATAACCAGGGCGTCCCTACTCGTTACATATTGATCCTTCGAGAACTTTATAAAGATTTCACGACCAAGATATCTCCATTCTACAACAACGTCACCACTGACGTAAGAAGAGGGGTTCGACAAGGCGATACAATTTGGCCACAACTATTCACTGCCACCCTGCAAAACGTCATGAGAACATTAGAATGAGACGACATGGGAGTGAAAATTGACGCTCAATAATTAAACCATCTTCGCTTTGCTGACGATATCGTTCTCGTAACTCCAAACATCAGCCAAGCGGAACGAATGTTGACCGATTTCGGTAACGCCTGTCTAAAGAATGGTCTTCAACTAAATCTAACGAAAACGATGTTTATGAGGAACGGATGAGTTTCGAGTGCCCCATTCGCGCTCAACGGAACAACAATCTCCGAATGCTCCAGTTACGTTTGTCTAGGTCGTAAAATCAACATTATGAACGACCTAGCTCCAGAGTTGAGCAGGAGGAAACGAGCGGCTCGGGGAACGTTTAAGAGCATCGAAGATGTAGTGAAGAGGACAAAGAACATCCGACTCCGTGCCCACCTTTTCGACTCGACAATTATCCCTGCAATAACGTATGCAGCAGAAGCCTGGTCGTTACGTAACACCGACTCGTTGGTCCGATTTCTCAACGAAAGCGATAAAAGAAAGACATGATGCTCAGCGCATCTGTAGAGCGAGGAGGACCTAGTGAGAGCTACTCCTGCACGCGATAGGGAAAAATGGAAGAGTTGCTGGTACCCACTCGAGTCACTCGACGATCAACGGGACGACAGGTGGTACAGGTGATTGATAGGGAGTTCATATGATTATTCAACCGTAGTTTGGCGCTCGAACTTTGGAGCTTAACTAAAAGTACGGTGCTCTGCCAGAAAGGCGACCAAATCAGGCGATCTACGATCAATGAAGGGCAGGAATGTTGCATCAGTTGATGCTGTCAGCTGCACAAAATATTTCTGGCCAAGGGGCATCAAAATGTGAGCCCGATGCGGGGCTCGAACCCGCGACAGCCAGATTAAGAGTCTGGTGCTCTACCGACTGAGCTAACCGGGCTACAACATCTTTGAATGAAAGGTGAAATAATACATGACTCAATGAGGGGAAGAATGAGGACCTTGACAATATAGTATAAAACATAGTGAACCCCGAAAAAGGTAAGTGCTGACTCACAGCCACTTCCAGTTCCATGTTTTGTACGTCTCCTAGCACCCTCAATAGTGTTTCACATCATATCCTGCCGATAACAATGATTTAGGTAGAGAATAAATGTTGAAATCTGCAAGTATTTTTTTTATTTTAACAGTTTTTTAGCAAGTTTCAAAACACTGTAACTTCATATTCAATAATGTTGAGTGTTATGCGAGGCTCTGCAGCTCAAATGAGATCTGAATTCGCGTTTCACCTTGCATTGAGTTCAACTCGTGTCAAAGGTTCAGAGTTCTGCACATCACTTAGCACTATTAGCTGGAAATTGAAAAATTGGAAGACTCTTAACATTGCTCAAAAAACAGTTTTGTTATCCATATTTGTTCATTCTTTCTCAAAGAGTTCTTACTTATATACAAGTCTAGTAAGAGTCCCTTTCTTCAGCCACTACTGTGACGACGTATGGCAGCAAAAAAGGAAAAAGTCGAGGCGGTAATGGTGGAGGTGGAAGCGAAAAAGTCGCTGGAGGACAGGAAAAATGTACGGACAAGAATCTCTTCTGCGAATATTGGGCAAAAATTGGCGAATGTAATAGCGAGAGTAAATTTATGAAAATCTTCTGCAAAGCCTCTTGTGGACGATGCTAACTTGATTGAAACGAACTTTTCTGAGCAAAACTAAGTCGAAAACATTATCAGCAACAGCATTATTGGCGTTTCACATCTGCTTCTTAGATTTTATGACTTCTGACAAGCCATGCAATGATATTATTTCATGCTTTTTTGAACTGTCGAAATGTATGAAGTCTATCTACTTGCCTGCCATTATCCATTGTCTTTCAGTTATTAGCAGGCTCTTTTCTTCTCAGAATCATGTTGTTTTTCCCTGATTCATTTTTTTATATCTTCAGCTTTCAATTTGGGAGAACTCCATATCGCTACGCAAGTAACGCCTTGAAAAGCTTGTGATGTTAAGCGCAAAGAAGCTTGCTACTTCTTCAATAGACCTTAATCATCCGGGTTTACTCGTCTTTGTTAGCAACACTGTCGCCGGTGCTTATGATTAGTCTCTATCGGTTCAATCGCGATCGATCAATACGTATTCAATTCATGTTTTGAGAGCATAAGTCTTTCATTCCGATTAATAACCCATCTATTAACTTTCCTCACTATTTATCACGAAAAAATTCACAAATAAGTGATCAAACCACAGTTTGGTAATTTACGAACGTTTTTGATAGATGCATTGTAACAGATATAGCCATAAATTTTATGTATGTCGATTAAGTCTGTGCAAGCTACGGTTTCACGTTTGTACCACCGGAAAGTTGAGAACTTTATTGCTTGAAGTGAATTATTGAATTATCACAATTCGCTGTGCGATGATCCGACAATGTCGACCAGGTTGGCGTTGGCGAAGATGTTTGCTGGATCGAGTTCCATCTGAAGTTAGTTGAGTAAATGGAAACCGGAGAGAAAGTTCAAAAAAAGTACCACAGAATAGATTCATAAAGTTATTAGAAGCTATTTATATATATATATATATATATATATATATATATATATATATATTTATGCCACCTTCAATATGTAGTAGCAATAGAGAGGTGCCCACAATCTCACATTATTGAGCCATTCACAAAAGATAAAATATACCCATTGACGTAGAGTGAAATGCAAAACTTTTGCGTCAACCGAGACTCGAATCCACATTTCACCCTATCCGGGTAAGCGTGCTTGAACCGTTGCAAGTATGAGTTCAAGTTCCACCTGACAAGTTCTACTTATCACTCTACTTCAATGGCTATATTTCCAACATTATACCACCTTTATAGCGGTCAAATAAAAAAGAATTCTGTACAGTCATCTTAAGACAGACAATATATAAACTCAAATAATTTTACTTGACTGGAGAGTTCAAGTTTTAGAAAGTCTATGAGAGCTTCAAACAAATGTACAGTAATGATTCACTGATTATTTGTTCAATCTTTTGCTCGCAGTACCAATTTCTACTTCAAAATTTGTTTTTTCGATTATTTTGCTGGGATAACGCGCTCAAGAAATGTTGCTATGTTGAGAAAAATACCAAAGACCGTAGATGATTTTGAATTAACATTACCTTTATGGCTTTCAACAACGCTATACCAACGACTCCTTGTGTTGTAAGCATTCATTGTTTCCGCAGTTTTCCAATGCCATGATGATGTGAAATACTTCCACCACACGCAATGATTTCGTCTCGAGCAGCTGTCTAAAATTAATAACTATCTTGTACACGCATATAGTCAAATATGTGCACACGAGCGAATTTTTCAGGTAA